CCTCGGAGCCCACCACCGCGGAGCCCACCACCTCGGAGCCCACCACCGCGGAGCCCACCACCGCGGAGCCCACCACCGCGGCAGCCGACCGCGCCGCATACCGGCGACGCGAAGATCGCGCTTCTTGCCCCACCAGACCAAGAGGAACTGAATCCACGCGTCCAGGCAGACGGCCGCGTCCGTCCAGAAGGCCAGGTTCGTCCACGTGGGCTTCGGCCAGTCTTCCAGCACGATCAGGAAGGAGACGAGGAGGCACAATGCGGCCATTTCGCGGTACAGCAAGTACCACATCGACACCCTCCCCGCTCCTCTCTATGGAACACGGTTATAAAAAGGGATCAGGTTGAAAATCCGAACTTAATCGGAATGTGCTCTAGATACTCGCTACCCTGGCTCATCTAAATGCTCCCAACAATGAAGAGCTTCCATGTATTTTCAAATGAAATCAGCACTGAAGTAGCGCTTTGTTGTAATTGCTTAACCTCCCTCTTAGCCCATAGTTTCTATTCTCTTGCTCCCGATGAGAGAGATGTACTCCACGATTTCTCATAGAACCATCAGGAACGAACATATTTTACGCTTTTATCTAAGAATAAGGTCGCTCGTAAGACCGTCCGACCTCAAACGAGGAACTCACATGAGAAGTGAAGAAGAGCACGGCATCCTCCCCACTGAAGCAAAGGGAGGACGAGAGACGAGCGAGGCAGGCCGAGATGGACTCCATGGGGCGCGCTCCCTCTCTCCCTTCCCGTCGCGGTCTACCCCTGGTCTCTCCCCGGTCTCGCGCCGTCGATCGGGGAGCAAGGCTCTACGCCTCCGAGCATCCTTCGTGGGAGCGCAGCTGTGGGAGCGCAGCTGTGGGAGCCCGGGTGTGGGAGCACGGCCGCGCGCGTCTCGGGTGTTCCGAGCTCCCGTTTCGGCCGGTTTCTCATTTCATATTTATCGGGTCCTTTATTTCGAACGATCGAGGGACCGCGCAAGGAGATTTCGTCTCCAGGCCGACTTCCCCGCCGGGCAAATCGAGTTTTTTCTTTGTTGTTGCGAGAACGCATTTACAGTTGGTGATTTTACCGTTCCATCCTTCTCGTAACGGCAGGGATGGCCGACACGAATGGACCCCATGTCGAAATAATAATTTAAAAAAAACACGGAAGGTCTCATTCCCCGTTTGGAGCGCGTCGAGCTCATTCCTCGCGGATTCAATTTCTGCATCTCTTTCGAGGACGCCGTGTGGAAATCGGACCGGAAATCCGAGAAATGTTTGAGCTGGCGTCAGCCGAAACACAGCCGCGGGCGTGTGTCGTCTCTGATTGGCAAATATAATCAAATTGGCAAAGTTTCGTGAAATCGTCACGTTCTGTTGTTTGAAAGCGCAATGGAATGAGCTTCGCTCGAATCGCTCTCGCACTTTTTGGAGCTCTCCGATTTCTCTTTCTCTCTGAACATGCGCACATAAATGTTTCTCGCATTCATCAAGAGGGAAGGAGTGAAGCCCTCTCAAAGAGAAAGGAGGGAAGTAGGGGGGGAAGGGGTGGGGAAGGGGGGGAAGGGGGGCAAGGCATGAATTGCGTCGATGAGAGTGATTCGTCGGTGCTCCACTTCCTGCAGTTGCCTCGCTGATTAAGGCAGAGTGTCGGTTCTGCAGCTCAGCGGAAAGGAGGGGGATGCCTCGTTCTCGCCTCTTCGTGGAAGGGGGAAGCGCGCCGTGGAGGAAGCGACCGATGTGACGCGGCATTACGATTTTCCGGTGGCCCGAAGTTCGCTTCATCGGGTAGGTTAAAGCTCTGTGGGCTCGTTTACTTCCACCAGCTGTAGATGGTGCAGTCGCTTCGCTTCTCCGAAACCGAGGCCTGATGGCCCGGTTAAATGACGGTAGTCAAGTGAGAGAAAGAGAGAGAAACAAAACGGGCTAACAGGAAAAGCAATCGGCTCCGCCCCAATTCGCGGAGTTAAAAAAAAATAACTGCGCCAATTCGTATTTTTATAGGAATGATGGTGCATTTTGTCCGATTGGCTCAATGTTTTGTGATGTAAGCAGCAGCCCCGTTCCTGCAATAGGCCCAAGGCGACGCTATACCCCTGCAACAGGACCCAGGACCCTGGAATGTTCCATGGGGTCAGGATCTGCTCGATGGACCCCATGAAATAATGGGATACACAAGCATCCCTCATTCCTGCGGAAGCAAAACATCCTCAAGCGGAGACCCGACAACTGGGGAGGAGGAGGAGGAGGAGGAGTGGCGGAGGAGGAGGAGGAGGAGGAGGAGTGGCGGAGAAGGGAGGCAGCGGAGGCAGTGCTGGGTGGGCTGAGAGTGAACGGAGGAAGCGGGGGACACGAAGTGGAAATTGTATGATGATCTAACAATAGGTTTTTTTATCCCGTTGGTATTCTCTGCTCTTTTCTGTGTGAGGTGTATTATGCGTGTGAATTGTAATCGATCGGCCTATCGGGAAAACAATTAGTATAGCTTTTTTTTTTAAGTCACCACAGGGTTTACTTGGTGAATTTGCCGTGTCGAACCCTCGACTCAAAACAATCCTCGTCCCGTGCTAAGAACACAAATTCCCCACACGCAACAGTTTCACAAACTGCATGTGGATAAACTAACGGTTTCCGCCAAATCTGAAGGACATCGACCCAATGTGTCAACTCGCTACACCGTTTAAAACCTGCAGCTTCAGAAGATCCACCCGACACCCTCGCCGATGCATCCGCCTCATCCTTGCAGCCAGCGAGTGCCTGTCCGTGCCGAACGGCCAAGGAGGCTAGGCGCACTGGCTCAGGCGAAAGCATCAGTGCGCTTGTACGGCACACTTTCTTTACCCGTCTAGTTTGACCTGGCATAGAACGTGATGCAATGCCTCTATTTTTTTCAAATTTGCCACATCCTTTCCTCTACCTACAAGCTGTGTGCAAAAAAATTAGTTCGATCAGATAAAATTTACTGTCATTAATATAATTTTTTGGCATAGTGTTTTCTTTTTAACACCGGGTAGATTCATTCTCATGCATTCTCATTCATTCTCCCCACCATCGCCTTTCCTAGTAGAACGTCGGTTCCGCTCACGTGGGTGCCCCGTGGTTCCCGCACACCAGCGCCACTCTATCGTCACATATTCTGGG